TGACACCATGGCCGTTGGCACTGTCATTGCTTTTTCGAACTTGGCACGTGCTTTTTTCGCTTGTCCGATCCTCAAAAGTGACATGAGAGTACCTTTTGCTAAAAAAAAAAAAAAAAAAAAAAAGGAAAATAAAATCCCGCTTTTTTTTTTTCTTTTACCCATTTTCGTTTTTTTATTTTCTTAAAAATCGTAAATCAAGTCAGATTCGAAAAACAAAATTATGGGGTTGCAGGGTTCTGCGCTAACGCGCGGCCCCAGTGGCCGCATTCGGGCGTTGGGGGATCGCTCACGGGGCCGACAACATCTGTCTGCTTCGATTGCCAAAACTTGGCACTGGCGGGACCATGGCGGCGCAGGGAAGAACACTGGGGTGTTAGGGGGGCGTGCCAGGGAGCTGTGATATGCTCCTGGTCGTTGCTGGTCTCACTTGACTTCTGTCAGGAATCCTGGTTCGGTGGAGGAAGGAGAGCGTGATACGTGGGGGCCATTGGCTGGTGGGATCCAGACGCTGCACCATACCTGACGAGACCGATCGGGGGTGCTGACCCCTCTATCTTTGATACGGAGTTTTTTGCGGGGGTCTCCTGGCCTGACACTGTTGTCAGGGTTAGCCCACGAAGGTGAGGAAGACAGGAGCGATGGGAGATTGCGGACTTCTCATGTTCGCTGCACAGCGAGGGTACGCGGGGATTTCGCATACGATCTCCAGCAGGAGCACACATTGACTTCTTGGATTGGGCGTGCTCACCTGTTGTGGCCCGTGTTGGGGTCTGTGTGTGTGTGTGTGTGTGTGTGTGTGTGTGTGTGTGTGTGTGTGAGAGAGAGAGAGAGAGAGAGAGAGAGAGAGAGAGAGAAGGGGTGAGAGGGGGGGAGAGAGAGAGAGAGAGAGAAGAATAACATCTGCTGATTTGCAGATGGTTGTTGTTTGCCCAGTTGGTTTGGAGAGAAAGAGAGAGAGAGTGTTGTACATAGTGGACTGTTTGTGTCCCCATGTTGTTGTTGGTTTGGTGTAAGTTTTTGGTTTGGTTTAGGAAATTTGCCACGAATAGGTGAGTGTTGCTCCGTGGGGATTCCATCATGGTGGGCTGTGGGGTTTCTTTGGGAGCCGACACAGATGGGTGGAGTAGTTTAATACCCTGAATCGCGAGGAGGAGGGTGGGTTAGCGGGGTCTTTGACCTTGGCCACGCCGGTGGCGGGGTATCACTGCTGGTTTATGAAGATATTGGGCTTGGTTACATATTCGGGTTGAGCAATCGTGGGTTTGATTTCCATCTTTTTGTGATAGGATTTGGTTTCTGTTTCGCTGTTTGGGTAATAGTTGTAGTAACTTGTTGCGATTTTTGTGCAGCGTTTTGCATGCAATGGAATGAAAGAGAGAGTACCACTCTGTAGAAACGTCACTATGGTGGGCAGTGGGGTTTCCTTGTGAGAAGGTGCAGATTAGTGGAAGTGGTTTTCCCTAAATCGCGAGGAGGCCGGTGGGTTTGCGGAGGTAGGGTATTACCGCTGAGACGTTGAATTTGGGTCAGATATTCATTTCATCCTAATAGGCTGCTGTTTGATGTCTTCTGAATTCTTAAGGAGAAGTGGTGACCATTGCTCCACAGGGGCTTCGTCATGGAGGTAGGGGAAGCATCTGTAGGGGGTATAGCAGATTGAGGAAGAGGCTTACCCTAAACCGCGAGGAGGTGGGTGGGTTCTGCGGGGCTTTTTAGCGCCTGCCGCGTGGGAGGTAGGGTAATCCCCTGGTTAGTGAAAACAGCACCGCGGTGGGAGTTGGTGTTTTTGTAAAGAGGAGTGTGGGGAGGTGCTATCCGCTTTGAATCACGAGGAGGTGGGTGGGTTTGCGGTGTCTATCAGCAGTTGGGGCCTGTGGGCACAGACCCCTGCCGTGCGGGTGGTAGGGCGGATTGGCAGGGGGTGGTAATAACTCCGGATGAATGGTGGACATGATCACGCAGCGCTGATCGCTCGTTTCTTACCTGTGGTTTTGATTCTTTTTTTCGGTTGGTGGAATTTAGGTCACTAACTTAGGGTTGACATGACTATTGTGATTACAGTTTTTTAGTGATCAACTTTTTATTTTCTTAGTATTTTCATTTCTTAGGGATAATTTAGATTGTGATGATAATTTTCGTTGACTTTTTGAGTTGTTGGGGCTGTGGAGTTGGTTGTGGAGTTGGCTGTGGGGTTAAATCTAGTGGTGTCCTCTATGTGTTTGGCCGATGTCACCCCGATGATGCCTTGCGCACTGAGGGCCCCACCTAATTTTGTAAGGGACGCCGGGCCCGGTTCCCGGCTTTTATAAAGACATTGCTCCGTTTAAAAAAAAAAAAGAAGGGATGCAATAAAAAAAACAAGCCCTGCAACCCCACATCTTTTATTTTATTTTTTGACTTATTTTTTGACCCAAACCAAAATATCATGGAGGGGGGGGAGGGGGGTGGTTCTTACATTCTGTGCTATACTAAATAATCTCTCGTGTTATCAACATTGCAAGTGACTGGGGGACACTGTCAGATGGCTGCCTTTAAATATCATGGAGGCTTCGGTTTCTACCAAATCCAGACCTAGGACAAAAAGATGTCTCCTACCCAGTCTGATTTTGGTGAAATGGATTTCAGGGGTGGTATTATCTTATCGGGCATTTGACAACCCTGTTTTTTTTTTTTTTTTTTTTTTTTTTAAGGGACATTGCAACCCTGTGATGATTTGAATTGGAAATCGGATTCTACGTTAGCTATGCCAGAAAGATGCTGGCCGGAGGGTGTGACCTGTTGAGGCAGGAGGGCCAGGCTCTTGTAGAGAGGAATGAGTATAATGATAGTAGAGGTGGGAAGAGAAGCCTGTGGCTGATTGGGGGCTGCTGCCAGGACAACGAATGGTCTGCATGGCCTGACCTGGGGTTGGTCGCCCTGCCCTGTAGCCTACTACCGGTAGTATGATAGGGGCTCACACACCTATTATGGTCCTGCATAGTCTTTCATACTCCTGGAGGCTGGGACTGAAATCCAGCATAGCATACTCCTGGGACTGAAAACAAGGCCGCAGCGAATTCTGGGAGCTGGTAAGGTTGATAGTACTTGATACTGTCCTCTGCAGAATCTAATAGGGTGGGTGATAAGAGCAGCCTCTCCTACTGGATCTGCTTTGGTCACTCCATCTATTGGTGGGGAGTTACACCTGCTGGAAATCGGGTCCAGCGTCCCTTAATGACAATTTGAAATTTTGAGATTCCCCTTTGTAGAGGTGAACACAGCCTCTTCACCCCACGCCATATCAGATATCTAATACTAGCTATGATTCTTCTAACCACTCTGGGTGTCTGACTCTTGACCATACCATGACCTTGGAACTATAGAACTAGGGGGTGGGGGGAAAGGGTCTGGGAATTCTGTCATATCCCTCAGGGGCACCTCTGGCTCCACCGTTGTCCAATCCTCAAACACCAAATAATAATCCCTGCAAACTTCCTCATTATCCCTTCTCTCAGCCCCTTCCCACTTGACTGTTTCCATTTTCCTTCCTTGAGGGTTTCCAAGCCAGCATCGAGAAAATTCGTTAATGTAGTTTTAGAATTAAATTTCTGTTTTTGAGCTTAGGTGTTGATTTTTTTCTTTTGTATTTTCCCATTTAGTTCTGATCACAGTTTGAATTTGTTGTTTGATTGTATCTGTAAACTCAGGTCCATCTAGTCTTACCCCTTCCATTTCAAAGGTACACCGCCTCATCCATATGGCCCAAAGTACTGCTCTTCTTCCTTCAATGTACAGATTAAGCGTGAAGTCATCCTCTGTGCTTCGGGTCCAAGTTTCCAGCAAAATCGCTTTCCAATTCCATGGCCATTGGCATTGAGTGGCTAAATGGTGCCTTATCCGATCCCACCATCTCCAAAGCCAGATAGCCGCTGGGCACTGCAAAAAGATATGTTCAATAGTTTCTGGGATAGTTCTTGTTGGGAAGGCTGTTTTACATAGTTTGCACCAAGGGAGTGCCTTTCCCATTTGTTCTAACTTGAAGGAAGTTAACTTGAAGGAAGTTCGATCTATCAACCAGTCATTCGTTGGGAGAAATCGATGTTCAATTTGCCAATGTAGCGAAGCCACCTTGGCTGGTTTGTCCTTGATTGTCCTAATTGGCTTAATAAGTACCTTTTTGCTCATACTGTCCTCTGGATCTAAGGAATGCATAGAATCATAGAAGTAGGGCGTCGTTAGACACTCCTTGGGGACCCGAAGTCCACAAGGACGTGATCATTCCACCTATCCTCGGGGATGATTTTCAAAAAAAAAAAGTGAAAACGGCAGAAGGAGATTTCCTTGCGGCGTCCTTGTGGCTCCAGCCAATTCTTCCTAATCCCAAAGGGACCGCCCGAGGTCCCTCGGAGCACAAGGACGCGCAATATTCGGAGCGGCGAAGGCATGTATCGACGCAGAGTTTCGTTTCGAGGGTGGTCCAGACGTGGTCTGCCCGACGGCAGCACGGACATCCCTGCCCTCCGCCCGCGCCACCGTAACCCAACGGCTCCAACTGGTCACCGATGGCTTGGGCCTCCGCTCGCCGACTTTGTGGTCGCCGGCCGAACGTCGTTGTGTTTTTTGCGCGGGCAGATCATCGTCAACGGTCGGAAATTCGAATATTTCAGAGCGCCGCTGCGTTCTTCGACGATGCAAGTGTTTTTTGCATACAAGATCGTCATTTTTGTCGTTGTCGTCACGTGCTGCTTGTCGACGTACACTCCCACCTCTGCTGTCCACAACGACTTTCTTCGGTGGACAGTCGGCCTCTGACCTCGCGTTGCTGTCTTGTCTGTGGCCCTTTCATGGCCAACCTGCATCACAGGCTGCCTCTGCTAGTCCTCATCGCCGTGCTGGTTGTGATCGTTGCCCTCTTCCACGTGTGTTTCCTCGGGGGCTTCCTGTCGCAGCTCGCAAACGAAGGTCTTCAAAGAAGGGCGACAGGATGGAGCGACGATTGACCAACCGCAGACTGGCAGGCACGACAGCAGGATTGAGCAATCGGCAACGCACTGCAGGGTCCGCGGGCAACCAAGCATACGACCCAATGTTGTACGCTCACCTGCCTTCGCATGAGATTCCCCTTATGTCGACGGATGACGAGTGCGAAGACGTGAGGTCATCCGTTGTGCCGTTGGGGAGTGGTTCGACGAAGGATTGGGTGGGAACCCAGTCCTTCAGCGGCAGGCAGGCGGAGACCCCATGGTCTTACACGTCGATGCTGAACGAGGGGTTGTGCTGCGACGATGGCAATGCAGGGGTCGATCTGACCTTCCAGTTGTCGACCAGCAGCGGCGTGGTGGTGACACACACGCACATCATCAATCCCCACCCTGATGGGGATTGTGATGAGCAGACATGGGTTGCTCGCTGCGGGGCGCGAGACGGCAGGCAAGCTCAAGCGCTTCGCGACAGTGGCGGGAATCGATATTTGTCATCTATGGCATCGGCCGGTGGAGGAGGCAGCGGAGATCATCGTCCGGAATGGATGCGATCATCGCCCGCGCCGGGAAGCGGATCCAGGACTCCGCGTAGACGGCAGCAACAGGACTACGCATCCGCGACGGGTGCGGACGTCGAACGCAATGGCACGTAGGTGTGGGAAGAGTGCAGGCAGGCCTTGCGTCCACATGGAACGGAGTCCATGATGAAGGGAGTGCAACGGCTCGACGTCAATGAAGGCGATGATGCGGCAGATCACGAGCCGTACGACAACGACGACATGGACGGCGACGAGGGCTACAACTCCGAGGAATTGCCGGATATTCGACCGTTCGGGAGGAAGGCGAAGGGAGGCCGAGGGGTTGGGAGGAAGGGTTCCACGACGAGGAATCGGACGGACAAGAAAATGGACGACGACACTTGTGGGAGCGATGGCGAGGGAGCCATAAATTTCTGGTCCGTTGGAGACACGATCGTACTTGTGCGGGCGAAAAGGGATCAAGATTTGTATTTCTCAAGTATGGGGCACAATTTCGGTTGCATGAAGACCAGGGAGTGGAAGTGGGAGCACTGGGAGGATGTGCGGTTGAGGTTGGACAAGGCGGGCGTGACGAGGAAGGTCGTCGATTGCGGGAAGAAGTGGGATAAACTGATGCAGCAGTTCAAGAAGGTTCATAAGTTTCAGCAGCTCTCCAGTGGGAGGGACTACTTCAAGTTGGCGTCATCGGCCAGGAGATCGGAGATTCGGAGGGCTTCAACTTCGCCATGGACTGGAGCTTGTACGACGAGATGGAGGCGATGACAAAGGGGGATCACACAATCCATCCGAAGAATCTGGCAGACTGGGGGGCTGCGGGGGGGTTCAGATGTCGGCGGGTGCTGGGCCGTGAGGCGAGTCCATGGGCAGCGAGGGTGGAGAGGAACCGGTTGACGACGACCAGGGATCGACGAAAGATTCGACATTCAGTATGGGGAGCGCCGACGGTTCTGAAAAGGAAAAACGTGCGACAACAGACCTTTGACGCGGTCGCGGAAGTCATGGACAAACATGGTACGCTAATGGCAGGCACCATGGACGGCTGCAGCAAGCGGCAATGCTCCATGGACCATGATGTTACGACAGTGCGAAATCCTTGAAAGCGAAGTGGAAGTGCAGAGGACACATGTTGCGGTGGATGAGGCGAACAAGATGATGTGCAACGCCCTCATGGAGATTGCGAGAGCCATCCGCGACAGATCATGACAACGCCGGAGTAATTTCTGGTTTTCGCTTCCCCATTCCAGTTCGGGACCTGAGCGTTGTGGTTGATGACTCTTCCTTCCGCCCTTTTTGATGTCACTGCGATGATTAGCAGGACGGCTGATTGTTTTTGTATTTTCGTCGTCCAATTATCGTTAGTAATTAAAAAAAAAAAAAAAAAGTTGGTTTTCATATTCGGGGGAGTGCTTGGTGGGTGTTTTGCGAGCTGCGAATCGACAGAGCCATGTGTCAACATTTGCGAGCTGCAAATTGACATAGGTTTTTGGATGTTTTGCTAGCTGCAAAGCATCCTTTTGCCAGTCCGGTCGCTTTCAGCACAACCTGCACTGCTTGGTGCTGCAGTTTTTTTGGAACAAGTGCCTATTTCATTTATGTTGTTTGTGCGTGTGAAAGCGGTTCTGTGGGTTTTGGATTCTACTAAGGGGGGGGTAGTTTGTGCGTGTGAAAGGTTGGTGGTTTTTTCTGTCCGACGATTGTATACACGCATGTTGTTGGGGCCGTCGAAGGGCCTCTTCAAGGCTTTGGGAGAGCGGTTAGGACAAAACATGATAGGACGGACCGCCGCGCATGGCCAGTCTAGGCCGGTTGTGGTCTCATGTGTCATCCACGATGATGTCGTCCGCCAAACAAGCGACGTTGTGGATGGTCCACTTGCTCTGTCTTCATGCAGCATTTGACTCCCAGGCGACAAAAAAACCGTCTGCGTGCACCGTCTTGAGTATGTAATCCCGCCTCGACACCTGCTACACAGGGAGCATCACCACACGGGTCAACCTCCAACTTCTGGACTCGTCGACACCCTTTAACTTTTAGACTCGTCGACGCACTCCAACTTCTGGATTCGTCGACTCGGAGTTCTCTCGCCTAATCGCCGCACAACTATCTCGCCACATCTCCACGGACCTCTTCACCGCCGTCGAGGTCCGACGCCGTCGCTCTTCTCGCCTCATCGTCGAGGAGCTCACTTACCATGTTCGTCCCTATTCTCGCCTCATCGCCGCGGAGCTCTCTCACCTTGTATCCCATCTCTTTTCGCCTTAGCGTCGTTGACCATTGTTCTTCGTCGCCGCAAAGGCAGTCGTCGCCGTATCGTCGCCAATGCCGTCGAGGTTCAAAATCGCCACTCGTGCCGCCTAATCGCCGCAAAGATTTCTCTCCAAGTGGAGGATTGGGGCCGTCGCTGCTCTCGACTTATTGGCGCGGATGTCTCTCGCCACGTGGAGGATCGGCGTCGTTGTTGTTCTCGCCTAATCATCGCGGAGCTCTTTCGCCACATTGAGGACCGACGCCGTCGCTATTCTCACCGTATCACCGCGGAGCTCTCTCGCCAACACAAACCATGTCGATGTGAGCTGCTGCCCGTGGTAGGAAGCGGGACACCGGGGACAGCACATGCGTCGACAGCGAAGGGTGGGACAGAGGTCGGCGACATATCCCCAAGGCAAAGAGGGGTCGTTCAGACGGTAATTCAGGAAGCGTACCTTCTCGTGAAGCGAAGGGTTGGGCGAGATCCACGGAAGGCGACGACGACGACGCCTTTGCTGCAGAGGAAGAACTGGTGGAGGCGACCGTGTCTGTCGTGCGCGAGACTGGCTGCTAGCGGGTGCTTGAGCAAACCGCGGGCAGGAACAAGGAAGTCGTGGTCAATGTCGGCGGCGATGATGACGAGCAGTTGGAACAACGTCGCCCGTGTGCTCTTACCGAAGCCACCACAGCAACATCCGTCAGGGCACGCAGCGCAGTTGAGGAAAGGTCACCTCAGAGTTTACGATTGACCACATCGACAATGCCGCATCAGCAGAACCATGTTGAAGGGGGGGGGTCCGTCGAACATGGTAGCGGGGGGGGGAGCCCAGCCTGCCCAGGTAGACGCGCGCGCAGCCGGGGGCGAGGCAGTCGATGTTGTGGCTGCGTGCACTTCAAGCATTGTGGCCCCCATTGGACGGGGTAGAGATGACACACAAGTCGAGTGGTGTGTGGCGATCGGGAGAATGACAACCTAGAATTGAGACGGCTACGAAGGGGAGTCGTTGTGAAAGATCTCACCGACCGTGCAAGACTATGGGTTGATGACAAAGCATTGTGGACGACAGGGGAGGGGCGGAGACTGTACAACATCTCCCACGAAACGAGGGAGTATTTTGTTGCCATCGCGAGCGGTCTCACAACGTCTGTCGTCCCCCGAAGCGTCGTGATGCCAAAATTATCCACGACAAAGGACCGTCGAAGGTAATTAGGATCACCGACCCCTCATAGCTGCAGCAAGCGATCTCCCGTGCGGCGACAGTGGAGAATATTGTCTTGCGCGTCTTGCATGGGTCTGTGTTCAAGTCCGAGACCCACCCTAGAGGTTACAATCTGGTTTTCCAGTACACATTGGAGTCTGTCGTGATGGACATTGAGCGTGCTATGTGGTACGGCGAGGTGTGGAGCAACGTTGTAAGTGGAGCTGTTTGTGCGCATACAATTGACATGTGCATGGACTTGCCATTGTGGTTTGCGGGTGCTAACATCGACGACAGGCCCGAAGATGACGGCATGGCAGCCTACCAGGATTCCACTGTTATATGCATCGCGCATGCATTCCGCACCGCAGTTTAAATAGGCGGTAACATTGACGGTGGGTTCATCACAAATTCGCGAATTGCTGACTGTTTCAGGCTTTTGTTGGTGGCGAGCATATGGTTGATGCGCATGGCGGGAGATGATCTGCGCAGCCACTACGAAGCTTTCTACTTCGCAAAGCTCATGGCGAAGCCTACACTCATCGCGTCCATGTATCGGTCCTGCGAACATAGGCGATCAGTGGTCCGCGCTACGAACGTTGTGACGGAGAGGCTTGGGAAGGCTAACGCGACCTTGGGAGAGTACCCAAAGTACATCCCAGATTGGGAAATCTGCGGCATCGTGTTCGGATTCGACGCCAGCATAGCAGGGCAAGATGACGCGAAGAGGCTCGATTGGTTGGGCGGGGGCCCCCTGGAGGATGACAAGGCCGATGATGGAAAGGATGATGCGTAGGGCGGCGACGAGGGTGACACGTGGAGCGCGGGGGGGGGGGAATCGACGCGGGATATGTTGGCCTGCCAACATGTGTGGCTGAGCGTACACACATCGTGAGAGAGAGAGAGA